TTGGCTTTTGTTAATGCCAAAATGCTCTGTAACCGAAATAAACCACCCTCTTCCATTCCTTCTTAGAACAGACTCAAAACTTTTTCCCCGACAGATCACCGAGTTCCTCCATCCTTCTTCCCGGATGGAATTAACAGTTCCATCAACAAATCCTTTCAACCAAAGACACACTTCACCTGGTAGGAAGACAGTCGCCCTGCTGCCTTCTCTGATTTTCAGATGAGCCTCCCCCCTTGTCCTTACCTGCTCGAATAGGAATTTTTTTGCTTCAATGGTCGTCTCCACACGCCACCTCCCTGTCGGCCTGAAGTTTCTCTCCTCTCCCATACTCCCCATCTCACCTCTCAATAAATTAAGCACATTAGGCATGTCAGAATCCCTTAGTCCCCTTCTAAACCCAAATCCCAACTGAAGCCATTATTAGAGTTTGAAGGAACCAAGAAATTGGAGATAGGAAGATTATGCTTAAAAGACAAAGAAAATAGCAAGGGGAATTGATCTTTTAGAGGGGAATTTCCAACCCAAACATGTTCCCAGAATTTTGTACGATCTCCAAAACAAAGGTCATACTTGACATAGGGGAGGAAAGAAGGTAGCACTGGATTGATAGCTTTCCAAGGAGATGCTTGAGTTTCCCTAGCTGACACTCCAGCGTCCCACCCATTGTCCAAGAGCCCATGAATTCTATTGCTATAACAATGCCAATGAATTAGCATCAACTGACATGACTTGCATACTATTCAAGAAGCTGAACTTGTACAACATGCAAATGTTTGTCATGAGTCTCAACTCTTAAAGAATTTAGAAGTGATCCTATCATCAATTACCTTAATCCACCTAAACCCCAAAATAAATATTGGTAGCTTAGGCTGCATTTGGCATGCTTTCAAAGAATTAATGCTGATGAACTTTGTGGTCCTAAGAATCATTTTTAAAGTTTGAATATATAAAAGTGCTGGAGCTAATTCCTTTTTGGAGTCAAAACTCAATCTACAAACAAATCCATTGAAGTTTAAAAAAATAGCTTTAGAAAAGATTTTTTAGGCTCAAAATTCGTTCTTCAAATAGTGATTGTTTGAAATAGAAATTTAACCAAATGTGGCCTTAACCTTTGTAAACTATCAATAATAAAAGACAAAGAACAATAATACTGTCCCAATCAAAGAAAAAGAACAATTATACAACCTAAGAGAAGTTCCTCCATATCTATATAATGAATAAAGTAAATTCACAAATACACAAGAAAAATAGACTGCACATACGGATCTGCTCGACTGAGTCGACAGATTTCACAATAAAATTGAAGTGGAACTGGCGGAAGACCCTCCATAGGTTTCTCTGGGATGATAACGCAAGCAATGTGTTGCCACACATGGCATCGTGGATCTTCACACTGCAACAGCAAATGCCACCAGTGAATACAGAACACATATGATAGCCTCATAAAGTTGCATAAGAACAATAAAAAACAGACAATTTTAGTACATACAAAGGAGGATAAAACAAATGTAAGCAAATTAAATAACTAATATAGTCTATGATGTATCAGTGCAACATCTTGATAAATTGAAGGTAAGAGAACAAGCACAAAACACCAATGAATTACGAATAATTCTTTTGAGGGAAAAAAACAGTTGGGGCTGTTCATGGCTAATTCCGAAACAGTGGGAAGGAGCTCTGTTATTTGGTGCAGGACTAAGGGTAGCATTTTATTTTTGAAGTGTGTGCTTTTGAGCTTGGGGTGTGTTGCCAAGTTGGGTCTTAACACACTTCAGTTCTTTTTTTTTTTATTTTACTTATGGGCTGTTATGTATGTTGGGCTTTGGGCCTAGTTACTTTGTCTTATTCTTGGAGCTGCCACCTCCACCAGCTACTTCTATCCATTCCAAACCTCCAAATCCTTCTAATACCCAGACCACCTTGCTCCAGCAGAGTACAAACTTGATTCCAAGTAACCAGGTAAATCTTCTTTTCACACCACTCAGTCCAAAAGAGGATTCTGTTTCCCTTTCCAATGTTATATTTGATTCCTTTTTGGAAGTCAGGGTATATTTAATGGAAACCACTCTATACTACACACCCTGAGAGAGAGACCTGTGCTTGGGTCCCAATCTCTATTGCTTGATCCATATACTTTCGTGTTATCACCTGCCTCTATAGGCTATCTTCTTCATTGCAGTACACCTCCAAAACCATTTCCCAAGGAGGGCTTCATTTGTTTTCTTCAAATTTCTTTTACCCAGAAATCCCAGACCACCATATTTCATGGCTGAACAGATTTCACTCCAGTTTACTAAACGAAATTTAAAGCTCTCTCTCCAACCTTCCCAAGGGAAATTCCTCATCTTTCTCTCTAAAACCTTGGCTATTGATTGGGGAGGGGGAACAATGATAGATAGTATGTGGGAAAAGAAAGAACACTTTTTATTAAAGCAAGCTTACCCCCTTTCAATAAATATCTAGTAATGGAATCCCTTCTTTTTTATCAGCATTATGGGATCACATATCTTCTTTGCGTTTATATTTGCCCCAAGTGGAAGCCCCAAAAAAGTGTGGAAAATCATTTTAACCCATATAAAAGGTTCAAAACATCGATACACCAAAACATGCATATCACGGGTTTTGACCAACATGTGCTATTTTTTAGTTTTTTTTCCAAATTTTACAGGGGGCTGTGTTAGAAACACCTACTCCTGGGAAACATTAAAATTTTCAAATATTTAATATTTCACATATTGGGGCAAGGCCGATATGATACGATATGCCCGATATGCCGAAAATACATGATGAAATTTTGAACCTTGCCCATATGTAAAGTAATGCCAATGATTTGGTACTTGAACTTTTCTGGATTTATGCCTTCTAAATAATAGTCTTTTGTTTTATTTATCAAAAAAAATAAAGTTTCCCATTTATCAAAAATGAAAATAACAAATCCCTACCCCATGAAGAGATAAATCCACATCTGAAGTTGATTTTAAGTTTTATGAGGATAGAAAACCAAAATGATACAAAATAGAAAAACTTTCTAACACAACAGCCTCCAAACAGGCATAGTCTAACCTGAATCATAGACTCAGTAGCCAATGAACTTCCACATGGACAACGAATCTTCATATCCAATTGAAAAGAATCATCAACTTCCTCTTTAAGCTTTACATTATTAAGATCAGAACCACTCTGTCCCTTTGATGCTAAATCAGTAGCCCCAGGAACCTGCAATTTTCTGACAAGAACAGGAGAATTTATGAAGTTCAAAGTATCAAGAAAGGGGAAATGACAGCATCTACATAGCATTAAAAGTCTAGAAGACCAAGGTCAGTTAGGATTATTGTGGCTAACCAAAAATATTTAAGAGAGTTGGGACCCCAAGATTAGTCAAGCAAAAAAGCAGGCACAAAAGATATAGACATGAAAAGGATAAAGGGAAAAAGAGACAATCATGCAGTAGAATTAGACAAATGCAAATCAAATTGATCAGTAGTGATGATTCACATACTCAGGTTTGCAAAGAAAGATAACAAATAGAAAACTATGCAGCAAGACCCATCCATCTCAACATATGCAATACCTTGCAAATGCATCACACACCACACATCTAGAATGCTATATTAGGGATTCACCTGGACTGACAAAATGCTATAGATATTTGATGTATGATACATTTTCAAGGGTGTACAAAAAATATACACAAAAATAAATATCAAGACAAGTCAAAGGCTTACCTGTAAATATCATCAATTATTTTAGCTACTCCTTCCTTTCCAACAGAATTTTTTCTTGCCCAACCATGCACTTTGGAAACTACACAAAAACCAGAAAACATATAACACTTTATGCATAGATCCAATCTTTCTTTTTTTTCCTTTTTTAGAGGAAGAGTAATGCACGAGATGTTAGACAATGACTATATCTAGGTTCATCACAATCTAAATTATAATCAAGCAATCAATGATTTACCAGACAATGAAACCATGTATAAAACATCTATTTAACCAAAATGGTTACTCCAGGATGGTTTTAGTATAACCTGGGATTTATCCCAAAAAAAAAAACTTAAAGGGGAATCATTAAAACCCATCCTATAGATAACCTGAATTAACACGCACATCTGGAATGAAAAGCAAGTGCAAGCCCATTCAAGCAAGGTGCCATATTCACATGCACATCTACCATGGGCTGTGGGTTATTCTTTTAATCAATATTTTTTTTTTTTGAGAAAGAAGGTAAAGTATTGTATTAAACTTGACAAAAAGGTAATATTGCATCCACATGCACCTAACTGCAGTTACCAATCAAAGTAAAATTGCATCCCAAGTAATAAAAACCAAGTTGCATGAAAGTTGCCTTAATCAGAACCACTTTGCTCAATCTCAAATTTACAGCTCACTTTCTACGTCTACCATGCCACACCATTATAGCCCACAGGTTGGAAAAACCACAAGTGAAATTTCATGGCTTTGTAGAGATTTCTTGTATGAAGTAAATAGTTCATTTTTTTTGTTTTTCATTCTCTTTCTGTAAACAAACAGGGGTATTTGCAGTTATAGAAAATGGAGGAATTTTCATTGTAAACACAAAGGGGAAAGTGCTGATATGGAAAATGCGGGAGATGTCTTTTGTAACTTCCTTTGAACAGCCACTTGTACAGGGTTTTTTATTCTTTTGAATGAAATACTATACTATACCTTCTCTCAAAAAATTTCTTGTATGAAGTACCTGCTGGAGAAAATGAAGATGATCTATAAAGCTAGAAATGAAGGCTGCCTTATCATTTATGCTCTCAAAACATGAACCAGATTCCCTTGTAATGACTGTGAAAAATGCAAGGAGCTAAAATGCTTAGAAAGGAAGTTTACAGCCAGCATACATGCAAATAGGAAAACATTGGAAAGTAACACAACACAGTTTTAACTATTTGGACTGCTTCAAAAGAGTCGAAATGAGACAGAAACAAGCAACAAAGTGAGACTTTAGGAACATTATGGCATAGAAAGAGATTTCTGGTCATCTTTCTTTGTACATTCGGTTGCAACCCATTAATATGCAATTAGTATGGGTCACTAATGGGTGTGGGTCATTGATGAGTGGGTTGGTATTTCAACCTGCATCCAACTTCCAACCCAACCCAACCCACCCTTTAAAAAAATAAAGAAAATGGTAAAATATAACCCAGCCCACCCATTTGCCACACCTACTACTATAATCAGGCTGAGTTTGGGCCCAAGCCCAAAGTTGTACAGTGCAGGCTGGTCCTAGTTTTTTTTTTTTATCAGCAACCACAGAAAAATTCTTTCCTTAAAAATTAAAAGAGAGGAACACAACAAGAAGTTTTTAGAAACTACAAGCCCAGTACAAAGCAAGCCACCTAACCCTTATTACAATTGTACCCAGTACACATGTCATTATGCTGTTTTTGAACCCCTTCCTTAGCTAGACCATCTACCAACTGTTAATAGATCTTCTAACCCAACGAACTTGCAAGTTCATGTCTTTTGACAGCCATTTAAAGTGACTGAATTCATTCCTAAGCTGCCAAGTCACCCCCTCACCCTTTTACAACCAACCCACAATTATCTTCGAATCATCATCAATAATCAAATTACCTATTCCCAGTTCTTTGGTTTTCTCAACCCCATAAACTGCTGCCATAAGTTCTGCTTTAACCAAGTCACCTTGCTCAAGTGGGCCTGAAAACAAGGCTCAAATAATGCCACCCTCATCCCTAAAATCCCTCCAATTCCTGAGGGACCCAAACTACTGACATTACTACCATCAAAGTTCAGTTTCTTCCAGCCAACCACTGGGGGTGACCAAACACCTCTAGAATTTTAGTTTCCTATCCAGAAGAAGTCCTCCACTTTAAAGTCTGAAAGGAGTTTCAAAGTTTTTACCCAATGTGCAACTCTAAGGGTAATGAGTTCAATCACTGCCTTCAAACTCCTCTCCTTCTCCCTGAATATTCTTGTATTTTTTTTCCACACTGTCCATTGTCCAAATCACAGCTGCCCTCATACATCTCTACATAAGCATGCCCCTATTTTTTGTGCATCTCAAAACAGAAGGGCTTAACAGTCTTTCTAAACCAGCAGGAGAGTGCCACCTGCAACCAATAAGAGAAGAAAACCATTCCCAAATACAAAAAACAAAGGGACAGAAGATTAAGAGATGAAGAGCAGTCTCACCATACAGTTTACACAAGACACCAATTGTTAGACAAGGCCCAATTTGGTCTTTTCCTTTGTAGCCAAGTATTAATGCACCTATGGAACAATTCCCAGCAAAAGGCATTGACCTTTGGAGGAACAGGGAAACAACACCATATTTCTTTTATAGGGAAGGAGGGGGGGGG